TACACGAATGGTCATGTCAGCTGGATTACAATCCACGTCTGAACAGTGGGTGGGGTCTGTCCGACGGGGAGGGAATGGAGCGCATTTGGTCAAAGTTTAATCCTCTAGTTAGGCAACTTCGTTATGTGACTAAACAACATTGGCTGAATGCTCTCAACTTTGCAAGTCTACACAAAAATGATGTTGGGCGCAGGAATGCTGGTGTGTTGATCACATTACCTTTTTTCATAATTGAATGAACTGATTGGTAAATATTTGATGCAGTGAGAAATGCGCTGCAGCACCTCCAGAAGACTCAGAAAATGGCGGCAGAATCTAAGGTCAAGTTGGAAAAGATTCGTCTCGACCATGGACTAGATGGGGCCTATCTTGAGTCTCAGTGGAAACGCAAAAAAGATCTCCAAAAGCGTGCAATGAGTTCAACAAGTGCTGAATACCTCAAATATCTTGCGGAATTGGTGGAGTTTGAGGAGAAGCTAATTGCAGCACAGTAAGTCCAATACATATCCGAGGATGATACTGACTGACAGTATGACTCTTGACAGGGAGCGTCTTGAGACTCTGCAACAAAAGAAAAAGGGAGGTCTTGCTCGTAAAAAGAAAAATGCACTTATAAATTTACCGGATACAATGGTTAAGTTGGAAGAGGCAATTGAAAAGGTCACAGCAAACCTAGGATCCGTGGAGTTTCATGAAATTACTGGTCTGAAAAGTGGGAAAGGTGTTCATAAAGGTGAGTCTAATTTCTTTGAGAGCTGTGCCGGCATGCTTGCTGTGTTGAAAGCGCATCATTGTTGAACTTGAAAGATGAAAGGGCAAAGGCTTTGGCTAAAATCCTGGTGGCCAAAGGGCGTCTCGTCGAAGCAAAGAGTGGAGTGCTGGAGCATAGACGGCGAGCAGGAACAGTACAAGGTGAGGTCTGATTTTGTATCCTTAGAATCAAATAATTTAACATTTTAAATGCGATAAAGGAACAAATGTCCAGGCAAGGATGAACCACCTGCGCACCTTGAAAAATGCTGAACTTTGTAGGAAGCGTTCCACATATACTTGTTTGGCAAAGGCCTACAACCAACAGTTTTCGCCAGCTAACATCCTTTCGACTCCAACACTGGAAGAAGTTGAAGGTATGGTGATAACTGACGCATTCTTTGATTGTGGTGCGCTCAGTCACCCACAGGAACCATGGGCAGTACATCCGCCTACTCAAGACGTAATTGATGCATACCTAATATCTCAAAGATGTGAAGAGGAGCTCTTGCGTATTTCAAAAGAAGTCAGGCAGATGCTGAATTGGGCACTGGAATACCAAAGCAAACTTGATGCTTTGCGTGTGGATACAATGCAAGGTATGATTTGGTTTTCTAGTGTAGAAATTATTGCTGACAACCCTGGGCCAGCGACGCAACGCGTCGCAGCGGACCCTTTTTTTGTTGCGTTGCTCCGCAACACGCAGGGACAGGGCGCAAGTATTGCTGCGTAGCGCTAAATACCGCAACACCAAATAGGTATAAGGTGTCGCGCCGCGCCTTTGTCCGCAGCGCAACGCAACGCAGGGGGCGCAACACCACTAAAAAAAAACACTATATATATATATATGTATTTGTTTCGCATTCTGATCAATAACAAGATAAAAACTCTTCAAAAACATGTATTATAATTAAGAAAAAAATGAATAATATGATTGTCATCCAAGTTAACCTTAGTTTCAATTCAATCAAGTACCACACCAAACGCTTTGAAGATAGCAGTCAGATCCTCGAAGTCTGACCCCAGCATGACACCTTCCCTGAGCCACAATCTACTCGATACCAGTGCCTCAATAGTTCGCGCGAGCAGACTGCCGCGGTTGCTGGCACAAACATCAGCAGCGGCCGAAAAGATCCTTTCGGCGGCGCATGAGGAACCGGTGGTGGCTAAGTAATCCCGGGCCATTATTGCCAGGACCCGATAAGACTTTTCATGTGTCTACAATGTGCATATATTGGTTAGTGATCATGATGAAGCAAGGCATTTGATGGAACAATAGCTTCCCGACCACCATTCAAGAGCAGCCTTAGGATCGACAAGATTATAATTCTTAGCACGCATCTTGTCCGACATCAGTAGATAATTGTCCAAAGAGTTATCGATTGTGTCGGATGGGACATCTTCATCGTCGGAGTCGTCATGAAACATTTTTGGTTGCAGATGAGATGGATTAGAACTTGAGGCATGTGTATTGTCTTTGTTAGAACTGGAAGGGCGAGGTGAATCGAGAGCATATTGGGAAAAGATTCGACGGAGAGTAGATTTGGCTTTCATTGAAACAACACCAGACTTGCCATCAAACCACTTGTGGAAGAATTTGAAGGCGAAACAATGGGTGAAGTAAGGTTGCCATAACGAGAGTCTCGCACTGAAGGGCTTCATCTAAATAATCTTGAGTCTTCTGTAGCATTTTGGCTA